CTTGACCTTCCTTCTTGTATCTTTCTTCATTAGAAAATATATCTTTGCAATATCTAATTGTTCTCAAGTCAACATCTGGTTGTTTTATCCATGAATGAAGCTATAGCATATTATTGAGTCATTAATTTACTTGGAAATAAAATAAGCCAGCACATAATATGTTCTGTATAGGTGACTATTGTAATGAATAGACACAAAATCAGTTGACTGTTTGGTAAAATATATATACTTATTTAATATTGTCATGAAGCAATGACATATGCTTAAACTACTGTAAACATAACTAAGTTAAACTGTTTTTGTTGAATTTGGTTTATTTGGATAATAATAAAAAAATACCAGCTAAAAAAAACACCATAAGGATTCTTTCCTGAAAGGTATACAACCACATATATTGAGTCAAATTAAAAACTTCACATTTTTAAAAGTAATCCCATATATGATATACAACGGACAAATGTATCAGAGAGGGTATTTTTTAATCATTAATGTCCAAAGAAGGATTTTAATTAACGGTGGTAACCATAATTTGTTCCAAGCACGGTATTCGGTAATAACATCAGTTTAGCAAGCACGAGAATCTGATGGCACACAAGTTCAGTAGCGTGTATGGCCACCATGTGCGTTGACAACGTTATAGAACCCAAGTAAGTATAACCGATATTTGCTTTTATTGCATGTAATTTATTTATACCCACTTGGGTGTCCCATTTCTTCTGCATTAGGTCTCTGATATAGCATCTAATAACAGGTTTATAGTCACTGTATGGTAGGAGAAGTGGTGTCACAGATTTGTTGAGAGCTGCCTTTGCTGCATCATCAGCCATAGTGTTACCCGTGATTCCAACATGACTGGGCAACCAGCAAAAGACTATGTCGTATTGGCCATTAGCGAGGTCATTATATATTTCTAAAATGTCTAAAATGAATGGATGATGTGAACAGTAAATACACAATAAGGGCCCACAATGATAACTGGTCAACATGTTAAAATTTTAGGATTGTGAGGTTTAATTTGGTTCAGTATATATGAATATATGCCAGATGGCGATGTTTTTACGTGCTTCAATATAGCTTCAATAGAAATTATTTGGCTTTGTTAAATATATAGTCATCTGAAATAAAAGGGAATAACAAGAGGAAAAACATCCTATCTCTGGCTGCAAAAACATGCGAGAGGTGTTTGCTAGCATTATTAAACATCATATCTATATCAACAATAAGAAATATTGGATAGCAGAAAGCCAACTTAGACACACACCGAAAACAAACAACTATGTATATCACATCACTGTTTATTGAGCAGCACTTGTAACAAGCAGATAAACAATGTCACGTTCTTTTGGAGACAGACGCATTAATTTGACGATTTACAGTATATTACGTCAATGACACAGACGAAGAGCCAGTCGCGATTATCCAACGAATCTTCAAGGATGGTCGGGCTTGGATGTAATAAATGTACTTTCATCTTGTTATCAACTGAAATCATAAGGAAAAAAGGAAGGAATGCCTACTATCACTCTATGGAGGCGGTCTATCGGAAAGTGATAGATGTCTACTGACAACAACCCTTAACTGCATGCAACCTTGTAAACAACACAGGCATCCAAGACAACTAAGTGCTTGATAAACTGAAAAAAGTAATGACACAAATACATTACATGGAACCGTTAGATAATATTAAAGATTGTCTGGCCATGTTGCCTTGTAGACAAAGGGCATGTTGTACCGAGACTGGTTGGTTGTTGATTGGTTTGTTGTTTAACGCCGCACTCAGCAATATTCCAGCTATATGACGGCGGTCTGTAAATAATCGAGTCTGGACCAAACAATCCAGTGATTAATATCATGAGCATCGATCCACGCAATTGGGATCGATAACATGTCAACCAAGTCAGCGAAACTGACCACTCGATCCCTTTAGTCGCTCTTCACGGCAAGCATGGGTTGCTGAAGACCTATTCTACCCCGGATATTGAACACAGACAGAGAAGGAACCCAGTTCATACACTCTTTGAAAAAGGGAAACGCATAAGAGATCATGAGAATGTTATTTTTTGTTTATTCAAGAAACATTCTATACAAAAGCATTATTTGGATTGTAAGTCACATGTTCGCGATCGTTAACTGGCGTAGTGCCCAAACGCAACCGTTTAAAACTTTATACAACTTTTGTTATGAGACAATAAGTGCGAGTTGTCACTATCGTTTCACTGCAGTGACGTTGACATGAAAAGATCAAACTTCACTCAACATTATGTCATACTATTGTCATACTTAGTCCCAGACTACATGCTGACATTCGCAAGTTCGCCATTTGAATGTCTTGAAGCTTGAGAGTAAACGTACTCCTTAGCTCCATATCTCTTTCATACCCGCTTCAATTCAACCAAGATCGTCGCAGAAGTAGTAGACCAAGAGTCACCACCTGTGCACCACCAAGATCGCTACATCAGGATCTTTCATCTATGTCATCGGCATGCTACTGCCATCGAGATTACAGGACATGCGGCTGGTTTGAGGAGGTTAACCTGGTCCTGCGAGAGATGAGAATTAGACCCTGAAGACCGGTATGTGTCCCTGAGTTGAGACGTTTGCATCGATGACAACGCATGCGTTAGAGCAGCATTGTACAGGCATCGGCTTTGTGAAACTGAGGCTGGTTCGGTGATAAATCAAAATAGCTTCTCTAACACCGAGATAGAAGACATCGAAATGAACGTTTTGCACCGAAATGCCTTCGACAGGTCGACCGATTCGGTGCTTATGTTAGTGTGGAGAGTCATATCCGACACACGGAGATCTGGCTGAATGGTGGTTCAGGGAATCTGACAGCAAAATTGATACATCAACCAAATTCTTCAACGTCGCCTTCTCCTCTGATTATCAACCGACAGAGGGAGTCATTTCATCGCTACAGGAAACATGGCTCGTTACTGTTGACTTCCTTTATAATTGTCCTGTCCTGCCATGCCATGGCTTTCAAGATCTGAACCCGAAGAGTATTTATGGGAGGAATTCAACTGGCCAATGTGTTGTAGGAAGAACGGAGGAGAATTCCACAGAATTCCATAGACTTATTCAGTCTGTGCCAAGGGATTGTAAATCAGTCATAACAGCACACGGGGGTCACACCAAGTACTGATCATAACGCCCCCCTCGTGGACGTACGTGTCTTGTGACAGGACTGTCAGTATTGCCATTATGTCTGCAGATCACGTGACTGTCACCATGCTTAGTTTCATCCTTGTGTCAATCAAATTAAAATGAAATATACCCATTAATTGAACAGGAAAACATTTAGTTAAAAAAAAGTTAGCCTATACGTTAGCCTATACGCCAAATGTTAGTATTGGAAACAGAATGCCTATATCTTGCCAAGCTGTTCAAAATAGGAGTATAACCCTAGATGTTCTTATAATCCAAATGTGCGTTATGTGGAGTTATGCTAAACAAACATAATGCAATATTGTTAAACTTTTGAATACTTATCTCTCACGGTAACAATGGAAATTCAACACTGACTTCATAATGTAGAAATATCTAGCTCTACCATTTTTAGTTCCACTGACAGTTGTGAAAACAAAAGCTAGGCCAGGCCTACCCCCGGCACAATGTCAATAATTAACCAAACTGCAAGTAACATATGTTTCCCTTTCAGCTGATGCTGCTGATGTGATAAATGTTAAAGATTTCTTCCAATGGCAATTTTCATAGAAAGAGAGTCACTATAGATTGAAATCCTGTCAATTGATTTGAAACCAAAAGTGAGTGAGTGAGTGAGCTGTGTTTAACGCTGCTTTTAACAGTATTCCAGTTATATCACGGCGTGTCAGCTTTATGTGGGAGGAAAGCCCAAAGTGACGTTTACCACTTCGGTGAAACCCACGAGCATGGGTATGGTGCTGACAAACCTAGAAACATAATCGGGGCGAACCGGGATTCGAACCCACTATCATAGGTTTCTGGCGTACCTTAGGGACGCAACTCTGCCCAGCAAATCGCGGCGCCTTATACGACTGTGTCTGTGTGTCTGTGTGACTGATGTCCAAGAGTTGAAGTTTTGAAAGAGATCTAATATCTATACATGACTGGAAATCTTCAGATTGCATGGTACACTTATCAAAAAAGCAAGTGAGAAGATATTCGTGTAGGCAAGATCTAAACTTATTTGATTCCCAGCATTAATGAGTCTAATTGTTAGTCATAGTCATTTACAGAAACATCACATTGGAGGTTTATCCTTGGAATAAAAAAAACACCAACTTGATTTGCAGCAACAGTGTCTCCCCTAGATATATATAAACATTGTGCCAAGCACATTGTAGGCATGTGATTAAGTACTTCAGGGTTTAGATGCTTCTTGTCACAAAAGATCACGGATAAGATGAGAAAAATATGAAAACTTATTTTTGCTTGTTGATGAATTAATTCATGGTGGCTATCCAATGAATCAAGAACAATTTCAATAACACATTCTGTTTAAGCTAAAAATTGTTAAAACTCCTTGGACCACTTGCACAAAGAGATCTTAGCGCTAAGATGATTGTAACTCCCATACTTTAACATAGGCTAACGATAGTCATGATGCTAAGATCTCTTTGTGCAAGAAGGCCTAGGTTTTCTTTTATTGTTAACCTGAAATATCATTTTCATTGTATGTTTCTGAAGAACTTTACTGTTCTATCTCGCTTATCATAAGAGGTACCTTTTTCTTCAAGTGAAACAATTAACATTTTATTTGTGATGTATATTTTTATCTTTGGCACGCTCATAAAGAATTGTCAGGGCTCGGAAATATATTAAAAATAGAAAAATCGATTTTCACCCAAAGTGGACTTTCAACATATGTATTATGTACAAAAGTAAACAGGTAGTATCAAAATACTTTCAACTTAATAACATTGTAGCTAAAATTGTTTACTGTCAAAATGACACTTCATGTGATATAAGAACAAACATCCGTCACAGTAATGTAAAGTTGATAACGTTTCAGATATTTGAAGAAATTGGAATTTAGCAAAATTGCAAATTGAACAATGCACTGTCTAATACATGTTTCGAACTAGAGTTAGATACAGGTCAAGAACAGCGCCTGAGCGTGCTTCATGACATGGATCATTGCTCATGCAACCGGTTACGTACCTGTATTGCCAAGACAAGTTTATTTATATGTCATAATGATATATCAAGCCAACTGTGAAGTTGAACAAAAATCCATTACAACAGTTAGCACAGGCACAAGAAGCGGCAAGAAACGAGGCCAGGCGAGCGAAGGAGGAACAGGACCGTGCAGAAAGGGAAAGGAGAAATGCTGACGAAGCAAGGAAACAAGCATCTGAAAGTGCATCAAGTTGCTGAAGAACGAGCACAAAAGGAAAGCCGTAGAGCGAAAGAGGAGAAAGAACTTGCAGAACAAGAAAGGAAGGCTGCTGCTAAAGCAAAGGAAGAAGCAGCTACAAGCACAATAAGAGCTGAACAAGCTGAAGAACAAGCCCAAAAGGAAAGCCGTAGAGCGAAAGAGGAGAAAGAACTTGCAGAACAAGAAAGGAAGGCTGCTGCTAAAGCAAAGGGAGAAGCAGCTACAAGCACAATAAGAGCTGAACAAGCTGAAGAACAAGCCCAAAAGGAAAGCCGTAGAGCGAAAGAGGAGAAAGAACTTGCAGAACAAGAAAGGAAGGCTGCTGCTAAAGCAAAGGGAGAAGCAGCCACAAGCACAAGAAGAGCTGAACAAGCTGAAGAACCAAATCGAAAACCAAAGAGCGAAGGAGGTGCAGACAATTGCGGACAAAGAGAGAGACAGCAGAAGAGGCAAGAGCGCATGCAGAAAAAGAAGCCCGAATATCAGAGGAATGAGACAAAAGAAGGAGTCTGCTGAGCAAGAAAAGCAACGTCTTCTGGATGAGAAAGATGAAAAGAAGAGGAGAGATTTAATAGTAAGTGTGATATCATACCTACTTCCTTCTAACAATACCTAAACGACTAGTCAACAAACATACTGAAAAAAGAGCAGCCTTTAAAAAGATTTGGTTGGTACTTGAGATAAATACAGCTGAAAAACTTGAAGATGTAACTTTACCTGTACACATCTCGGTATTACTTCATGTTGCTGTAACCACTAGGGCCCCCACTACCCCCGATTGGTTGTTATGAACGTTACTCCACAGTGGTATCTCGGGAACGTTTTGTGACCCATCTGTTACTATTTATCAAACTACAGCCATTCACTATAGTCTTCCAGCATGGTGACACTAGACCCCATTACTGCAAGGCAGCCACTGGACTTCCTCAGTAACATGAACGTTAACGTTTGGCCATGGCCTGTATGTTCGCTGGCCAAGAACCCCATCGACAATTTGTGGGATCATCTTGACAGGCAAGTCAGATGGCGACCAATACGACCAGTAAACCAGCAGGACTTGGAGGACGCCATCAGGCATTCGGAGCGGAGACGTGTTGTAGCCTGAAATGATGAATGAGGCGGACAAATGAGTGATTTCTGACTTTACAGTGACTCACAAGTCTCTAGTCACACATGCGCCTGATCTAAGTTGACCCCCTGTTGTACCATTAATAGTCATAAATGTCTTCTTTTATGGAGTGATACAAAAATATATTTTTTGTTGTTAATGCTGGTGGCTTTGGAAGGTAGAGGTATTCGGGAGACAAGGGAATGAAAGATATCATTAATATCTACTGACTTTTTGGTAGAAAACTGGCCTTGGTTTCGATCATTTCACAATACCTCTTGGTTCTACATTTTCAGCAATTTGCATGGGGTCCAAAGAAGACAGAACGAGGAAGATGGACATCACAGGTATCAACAGATAATAATGAGTGTTAGAAACATGATAAATAAAATCTATAATAATCTAACTCTTGCACATAATTGAACTCTCCCTGTAACTAATATACATTACGTCATATTTTTCTTTCATCAAACACTCTGCAGGCGGTTGAACATCTTCGCAACCAATTTCTTGAACACATGTATGACAAGGAAGGGAAGCTGATACGTGGGAAGATCTTGATATTTGGTCCTACCGGTGCTGGAAAGTCCTCCTTCTGTAATGGCCTGAGATCAGCACTGAAGGATTCTGCCAACTACTATGCCGTTGGTAATCTTGTCGAGTCACTTACTAGCAACGTAAGTATTTAACCGGGAACAAATCTGGAATAAGCTGAAACTTCATTTCACAAAAACCGGTTGTTAATATCTCAGAAACATATGCATACTAAGAAACCTCCTCTGTCGTCATCTATTGTTTTTCAGGTGACTTATTTTCACACACCGGTCTCTGAAGTTTTTAAAGTAAGGATCCCCAATGTTCATGATATATATTTTAACACACGTCATACTTACCTTCACATTCGCTGTAGATCTGGAAGCTGCTGAATTAGTTCACTAGAAACATTGCATCACTGGAAAGTCATTACCCCATTCTTTAAAATAATAACCTATAATACACCCATAAACGTTTTCTTCAAACATTTCCTGATCCTTGAACTGGAACTCATGCACCACCTTCGTTAATATGTCTTAGCCTACTACCAATTCCTACATGTCAGTGCCAAAACTTATTCTTTGTGATAAAAATGCTTCTGATTTGTCGGTTGACTACAAAGATTCAATAAAACTAATGTTTGTGTTGTACATTTCTTAAAAAAAATTGTTGCACGTTCATTTTTATCAGGAGAAATTTGTGTTGCATGTACATAATTGACTAGGTGCCAATGTCATTCATTGAAATCCCAGTCATCACCTTATGTTTCCCCGTTAACCCAAACCAGTTTATTTTACAGTTCCACTCTACACAATATGGTGACCACTGGATTATTGACATGCCAGGAATATTTGAATCTAATGATTCAAAAAACGGAGAATATTGAAGCTATTGTATCCGGCAGGGTTCGCTTTGATGCCCAGGTAAGCACTGCACAGTACTATCATCTTAAAGTTTTAGATATGGACAAAATAGAAATTGAAATATACATTTGTTAAATCATCATTCATGACCTACTGATTCATTTTTTTGTTTCAAGATTATAAAACGTCTTGATGTGACAGGCAACCTGCAAGAGGCACGAAGGGACGTGTCATGTGTTGTGCTGGTTCTCCACCATGGCATCACTGTGGGTGATGAATTGAAACGTCAGATAGATGCTGTCATACGATTGGGGGGAGATGGCGGTAAGTTAAAACATTGGCACACCCTCAGGTCCTGAAACTAGTAAAACTGCCATGTGTATTTTTGTGCCATTTTGAAACTGTGTGAATTAATTGAACTTAACAAAACTTTCAAGGTATTTTTCTCAGTGACTGCTGCTGCTGCTCCTGCTGCAATATTGCCAAACCGCAGGATTTGAATACTTCCAAAATACAACTGAAGAAAGCTCATGGCATATGAATAGGTCATTTAGAGTCTCAGCATCTTGAGTTGATGGTATAATTTCCATATCATAAGCAGGCCTCCATGAATCACCATTAAATTGTGAAGAGACCAGGTGTTCTCGAAAAGGTGAGCGTGCCTTGGCCTACCAGTGGCACCCATCAGAACACATGCAATGGCGAGTCGCAGCTCTGTAGTGTCTTCATGTTTGGGAATACACACTCTTGGATGAATATCTCTATCATACAGTGTGGTGGAAAGTGTTTTGTTAAGCGGATTCTTTATGCATAAATCGGAATATGAGACAAGCGAGGCGGTCTCTCTGATCTCCTTTATTTCCACTTCAGGTTATTTAATGTTATGAGATGATAGATAACAATCTCCAACTGTATACAAAGAAGAAGAATGTAATACCTGATATACATAACAGTTCCCAAAAATATGAATATAGAGGACAATATTCAGGATAATCACTTCTGAAATGACTTGTTTCTTTCATAAAACAGAATCCATGTATAGAAATGAGGCTATATATCAGGCCAAGGTCACTCCTTTCGAAATGTGTAACCATAAACGATAATTGGGATATGCTTTAGGATGTGTGTTTTACGATCGCTATACAATAGTGACTTCAGTTATTTCGCCTGTACTGATTTAATGTATCTTGTTTCAGCTCTGTCCTACCACCTGGTGCTGACTCACCTGGATGAGTGTGACCCACAGTTCAAGGACCCAGATAACATCCCCAACCTGTACAATTCTCCTCTAGTACAGGAATCTGTGAAGAGCGTGTCAGAAGATACTGGCATTCCACCATACGCCATCAGTTACGTGAAGAAGTATGTGACAGAAACAGAAACAGACACCAACACTAAGGTGCTTCACCTGAGAGCTCTTGACAGAATCCTCACCTCTGCAGCTGACCAAGTGGAGAAGATGATTGATTTAAAACTGCAGAAGAAGATGTATGAGGATGCCCCTGCTACTGAGGAGACACAGGCTGTATCTGAAGATAATGCTGAGCCGCTACAAGATGAATCAGTCAGCTGGGCCATCCCAGTGTTGATATCATCTGGGATATTTAGAATTGCATCAGTCTGAGGCATCATTTGAATAAAATTATTAAGGAGTGCAGAAACATGCGATGTCTCATGTCTATATATTTGTCCTGTCTAATGCATGCTCATAAAGCAGATGTATAATGGTAGATTTTGCAATTACCGTCGTGCACATTAGAAAAGTTTATTGGTTTGAAGCCTGTGTTTGAGAACATCTTCATCATATTCTTATGATAGCATCGACAATTCCTTAAAGGCAAAATATTCAATACATTAGACAAGTCGAATTCCACTCCAGAAATTTCCAGAAAAAAGTTCGTCCTTAATTTCGCCAGTTGGAATATGTTGCATTCGTGTTCGGCTCCACAGGAGCCACGAGTTTCATTAAATGCGAATATGTATTAATAATAATTTATTCTGATTATCTTATGAAATAGCGGGACGTTTTTGAAATATTATCGTTTCTTAAACACTTTCCATCAAAGCGGAAAACAAATGATAAAACAAAAATTGGTGGTGGAGTAAAAGCGCTAGCTCCAAACGCTGAAGACCTGGGTTCGATTCCAAAATATAGGTACAATGTGTGAAGCCTATTTCTGGTGTTCCCGCCGTGATATTTCTGATATTGTGAAAGACCCGAAGATAATTTTTTACATTTTGTATGCTATTTGAGCAGTATCTTTCCTATTGAACAATGGAATACATAATTTACCATAAATGTGTCAAAAAAACATGAACCATGCTCCTGTATTGTGCCTGCTAACGACTCTGTACTCTTGTGATGGGGTTATATGTTGTGGCGGGAAGCTCTGGACGAACTGGTCTTTTATTACTTTTCATAAGTGACGCACGTTGTAGACAAATTTGCAGGGCTTATTTCATCTGTAAATTCAGTCTTACAGGTTTTAGTCAACATTTGATTCATTATGGTAAATATATGTTTAGTGTCAAGTGTTAAACATGTTTTTATTCAGTCACCTGGAATATAACATATTCCAGGACTCACTTGGCTTCTCTACTGATCTTTAAATTTGTCCAGACACAATAGGTAAAATGACTTTATGAAAAACATCTCTTATTTAGGATTGCCTATCAAACAATATGAAAAAATGTGTTAACGTAAAATTCTCGACTTCTCAAAACGAACTGACATCAATAATGACGTGAAAACCCACTTTTGCCACTATATAGTGCTGTGCACATGATTTTGACGTGGCCATTTCTGTTTAAATACACAATAAGGGCCGACAATGATAACTGGTCAAAATGTTAAAGGTTTCTTAAAAAGGTTTTTACACATGCTTTATATTCACTATTAATGAATACTTAGGTATATATGTTACACACTCAACAGTAACACTTCGTTATATAGCTTGAATTTGCAATCTAAAACGGACCATCAAAAGCATTTGGCGATTACTTAAGATAATGAGGTAGCCAGTCACGTGATTTGTGTGACGTCATACCGGACAGTTGTAGCATCGAAACACACAAGTTGCGCAACGGTGCCGCGCCGAATCGCTCTCGGAAATCTTCTTTTATCTTCACCAATAATTCGACCCACAAGGTCAAAACTGGATTTGGAAGGTCTACCCCATACAGATACTGACATAGAAGTACAACCTTTTCAATTTGAACAAATTTCTGGCAGCAAGAACGACCAGAATACTGACGACGATTCCAGCAGTTCACAAGAAAACAGTGACGATCCCGATCTCGACGATGTTTTGAATAGGCCTCACACAGACTGGTATGCTAGTAATTAGCGTGCCATATATTCAGGAAAACAGATTAAATATGGAATAAATCTTTCAGCTGTCACGGTAAAATGTGTAGTCACAATTACCGCAATGTTAGACCAATAATAATATGCGAAGCCACGCCTATATATGTGACAGTAAATGCTCAAATCGCGAGTTACAAGTAAATCGTTTCAATATAATTTGTCAGACTTTTCACCTTAATTATTAAATGTGTTATAAAACTTCTTCTGACTAAATATACCCAACAGAAGGATCGAATATGAGGATCAACCTTTCTGTGAAATACCATTACGTATGTAACAATACACGTACACTAGCACAGTACCCTAAATTCGTAAGTGTAACATTATCAATGTTGCCGGTGCATCGAAGTTCAATTTTATAACACATTCAATCTCCATAGACGTCCCATTTTTGAAAATGTATATTCCACAATAACTATCACAACAGCTTACCAATAGCTAGACGTCTGTTTGGAGATTGTTGTACTTTCCCTCTTCTATGGTAGTAAAGAAAACATGCCTCAGTCTTTGTTAAGTTAAAGAGATAACAGATATATTTGAGCATAACACTATCATTAATACAGTTTTAAAACACGGGCTAGAGGCCACCAGTAACCAACACTAGACCACCTCGCTGGGGATCATGGGGACTTACAGTGCCTCTGCTTCCTGCATGATACCCAGCAGTATTTAAGTCATCACTTTAGCCACAGGGGGTTGAGCACAATGCCAGCCAATATTAAGAAAAACCTCGGAATTGAGTTGGCTTAAAAAAACTGGTTGATGATAGTTAAATCGATTATGATTATATTTCGTGTCACACAGGGGGAGAATAATTTTATGATACTTTAACCCCCTGGACAGAGCCTTCAATAATGTCAGTTGATAATAACATCACACCAAATTTAAAAACAAGCATCTAATTATTTGCATTCATATTTAAAATCTATTTTACAGACCAATTTGGATTAGTTTCTGACTTTTTTAGATGGGTTTGAGGGAGGTATACTTCAGGCTTCGCCATCTGCCAGGGAAAAGGATAAGGTGATGTGTTATCAAGATTAATTTTAGCTGCAGTGATGTGTGGTTGAATTCTGTTTCCAAGTGGTGGAATCAAGTTTGCACAAATGTTTAAACAGGTTTTCATATTGAGGGTGGAAAACACAATCACATGCTGGATTTGATTTACTTGAGTACAATTTAGTAACGTATAGCAGTGAAAGTTTGATGCGGAGCTGTTCGAGTATAGGTGCATCAGCTCCCACATACAAACTGTCCACGTGAGAAGTCCTAAAAGCTTGAAGACAGAGCCCTAAGCCTTGATGGCTTTATAGTGTCCAATTTTTCTAAATTGCTTTTGCAGGCTCCACCATAGACAATGAAACCATAGTGTAGTTTTAGCTTATTAACGATCTGTAATGTGAAACAACTATTAACAAGTAGAGATCCTTCAGGCACTTTGCCTTGATATATTTGATGTGTGGTAACAATGTCAGATGACGGTCAAATATGAGGCTTAGGAATTTGGCCCCTTCTACTACTTTGATAGGAGTACCATCTAAATATAAATCTGGATCCCTGTGAGGTATATATTTACGACAATAGTGGATACAGTTTGTTTTAGATTTAAAAAACAAATTTGAAGCCGTTTTCGTTCGCAAATTTTTGAATTTTGTTAAGACAGAGCTGTAGCTTCTTTCTATTGTATTCTTACCACGACAAGAAATGTTGAAATCATCCAGTAAAAGTGAACCATCAACGCTATTGTTTAATACTTTAGACTATTGATTTCGAGGCTGAAAAGTGTGACTAATAATATATTGCCTTGAGGGAAATGATCTGACAGGGTAGAGCCCATTCGTACTTGAAATTATCTGTTGTTTAATAATTGAGATATGAACTGAGGTAATCTGCCCTGCAACTCTGTTAAAATACAATATTTCCACGTTACATATCACATGCCTTCTCTAGATCTAAAAATATTGATGCAGTGTGCGTTTGTAGACAATGGAATTTTAAATAAATGATTCTAAACGCACCAAATGGTCCATGCTTTTTCTGTTTTTTCGGAAACGACACTGGATGTCACTGAATAGGTTATCGGTCTCAAGTACCAGACTAATCAATTGTTAACAATGTGCTCCATGGTTTTACAAACTTAGCTAGATAATCATATTGTAGGTAATTGGATGAATCTGTATTATCCTGTCCAGGCTTTGAAATAGGAATAATAATAGCATTGTGCCACGAAGGAGGAACATTTCTGGTTGTCCATATCTCATGAAATATATTAAGTAACGTTTCCAAACGTGAATCGGGCAAGTGTTTCAGGAGCACATAGAGGATGTTGTCGGCTCCTGCTGCAGTGTCATGAGGCAGTATATAATTCATGGAGTGAAAATGTTTCATTGTAGTCCTCACCATTATCAGAGTTAAAAATAACTTTTTGTCTTTTCCTGCTTTTTTTGAAAACTCTGAAATTGAGGATAATAGTTTGATGATGACGAATGGTTTGACGAAGTGTCACCAAGTATTTTGGCAATTTCGGATTTAGTAGTTAAAAGTGTATTACCATCTCTGAGATGGTGAGGTGAAATGGGGTTTAACCTCCAAGGTTATTGCACTTATATAGTGACGTGCATGCCCATGTGTGTGTTGCTGCTTGTACCAGTCCGGACTGATGCTGATGCTGATTTATAGTGCTATCTCACTAAGATACCATGCCGCAGTTTATCTTGAATACCAAACTCAAACACAGAATACTGACTCTGACCCGACCAGTCCTTGTTTTAGACCCTTAATGCCGGGCGCCAGACAGGATAACAACAAGTACCATTTGTTAACATCTTTTGGTATGATGCGACCTGTTCACTAATCTTCCAGTGTCTGCCCCAGTTCAGATATATCACTGCACTGAAGCTCGATGTGTGAATAAAGCCCAAAATAATGCAGGT